GAGAGATTTTTGTCTATTTTTTTTTTCATTGCTAACCCTGAGAACCTAGAACAGCATCCGACAAATAGTTGGCACTCAGTAACTACCGGCTGCATAAACAAATGGCTTTTTGAAAAATAAAAGCCAGCCGGGCTCGGTGGCTCAGCCTGCAATCCCACGCCTTTAGAGGCTGAGGTGAGTGGATTGCCTGAGCCCGCGGGTTCGAGACCTGCCCGGGCAACTTGGCGAGACTTCATCTCTACAATAAATCAAAAATTAGCCGGGCGTGGTAGTGCGCGCCTGTAGTTCCAGCTACTTGGAAGGCTGAGGCGGAAGGATTGCCAGAGTTCAGCAGGTCGAGGCTGCGGTGGCCGGGAGCGGCCGGCCACTGCACTCCAGTCTGGGTGACAGAGTGAGACTCCAACTCAAAAAAAAAAAAAAAAGAAAAGAAAAAGAAAAGCCATACAATGTAATTTACCACAATAATAGTAATGTGGACAACCATCAATAAATTTCCTTTGTTATAAATACAATGTGCATATGTCCGTTTGAGGGGGTAGATGTAGGAAATTCTACAAGATTTTTCAAATGAATCCAGCATTTTTGTTGAAATAATCTAAAAACAATACTACAAACAAACAATATTAGCTATAAGTACAAACTGCCTCTCGTCTGTCTTTTTTATACTGTGTGCTTCATTTAGTAATTGATAGAAAAGGGGGAGGGAGCTCAGTGAAAAATGCTTTTATAGGGGATAGGGAAAATTTTAAAAGCTTGGTTTTTAGGTATTCTGAAGAAATGACCTATTGAAACTTATAACCTCTTAAAAGTCCTCCCCTCCTCCAACCTTGGGGTAAATAAAATTTTGGTCAGCTATTAAATTTAAATTACCAACTACAAAAAGAAGACAGGAAGAAACTATTAATAGGATTACATCTTTTTCAAAAAACATGCATCCTGATATGGTTACTTCTTGGTGCCTCTATGAGTATTATGCCATCAAATTGAGAGCCAGAAGAAATACAAGGGACAAATCAGTAGACTGCTGTTGTTTTTTAAAAATTTTTTTATTTTAAAGATGTGGGGTACAATTCAGGATTAGGTATACAAGTGATCATCACACAGGTAAAGTTTGGGCCTCTCTTTGGTCCCCACTTTGCCTTTGAGATCAGGTACCCTTATTGATGTTGTATCCCTCTCTACACCCACCCCAGCAGTATCCTGCAACTGCTAATCTCTTTCTTAAAGTATTATGGTAATTGTTCAGGATCCACTTATGAGTGAGAGCATGTGGTACTCTGTTCTTTGTTTCTGTGATAGGCCACTGAGTATGATAGACTCTAAATCCATCCAAGTTTAATTGCTGTTAAGTTTTAAGACAGCTACAGTAGGGTAGCAGTAATCACTGTCACTACACTACTGCTGCCACCATATGACTATCAACTTAAGTATGCACTTTGTTCTTTATCTTCCTTTTTTTCCTCTCTGTTTCCTTTTTTTAGAGGCAGGGTGTAACTGTTGCCCAGGCTGGAGTGCAGTGGCATGAAAATAGCTCGCTGTAACCTCAAACTCCTGTAGCATACAACAAAATTGACTACAGTCAGTAATGATCTTTACTATGCCCTTTGTAATATTTAGTCTAGATCACTTATTTGACAGCACAGTCTAGCTTGTTTTCGTCTCCATTTTTCTCCTTTTAAGCATAACAAACATATGCTCAATGAATTATCACAAAGTGAACACACCTGTATAAACTCTACATGCGTCAACAAATAAACTATTACTAGCACTCCAGAAATCACCGTCACATTCCTCCCCATCACTATTCACGCCTCCTACCCAAAACGTAACCATCATCCTGACATCTAGATTACTTCTGACTGTTTTGGAACTTCAAATAAATGGAATCACATAGTATGTACTATTTTGTGTCTGTTCTTTAGTGAACTCTTCAGTGAAATATCTGTTCAAGCTTTTTGCTTATTGTCTAGTCGGGGCTTTTATATGTACAGGATAAAAACCTTTGTTCACTACAGTTGTTGCAAATATTTTCTACTCTGTGGTTTGTCTTTTCACTTTCTGTGTATTGATAAACAGAATTCCCAATCATAATATAGACCAACTTATCAATTATTTCTGGTTATGAAATCTTTCTCTACCCAACATCATAAATATACCCTTCTATATTATTTCTAGAAGCTTTATTGTGTTACCGCTCTTGTTTAGAGCTACAATGTGCTCGGAGTTGATTTTGTGTAAGGTAGTAGTTAATTCCTCCCCACCCCACCCTCCCATAGATATCTCACTGCCTCAGAACCATGACTAAAAAGACTATCTTTCCCCCACTGCTCTGCAGGGTCCCCTTTGTCACACCAAATGTCCATATACCTGTGGGATCGTTTTAGGACTCTCCATTTTGTTTTATTAACCTATTTGTCTATTCTTCCACCAATACTTTACTGTACTTTAAAAACAGATCTAGATATTCACAGACTTTTTTCATCTGTTTTCTTCTAACATGGCTATTCTTGGTCCATAGCATTTCCAGATGAATTTTAGAATCAACTTGCCATTCCATATATGTGTGTGTGATGGTGGGGTTGGGGAGTGGAGTATCATGTTGAAATTTTCATCTTGAAGATAACTGACAGAAAATATTAAGTCTTCTAAACCATGGTCATGGTACTATAGCCCTCCATTTATTTAAATCATTTTTATTTTCTTTTAATTATGTTTTATAGTTCTCTATGTAGAAGTCCTACACATCTCTCATTAGCTCTTTTCCTCTAGGAACTTACCGCGTGATGCTATAATACATATTATTTTTAAAATTCTTCATTTTGTGTTTGTTGCTAGTATATATAAAGACAATTGATCTTTGTATACAAACATGTTTGTTTTGCCATGTATTCATTCTATCTTGCTAACTGTGTGAAAAATATTCTAAAAGCAGAAATCTTATCCTATACCTCTTTTCATTCTTAGGGACTTGCATAGAATGTTACATATACAGCAATTATCCAATGAAATGTTTGCCTGCAGAAAATTTTGCCTGAAGAAAAATTACTAGGGAAATTTTAAAAAGAAGAGAATAATATCTAATTCCAATTAGATTGACATCTAAGAAAGAATGGCTCTAGATGTAGTCTTTCCTTTCTAACATTTATGAGGACAGCTTTTAGTGTGAATTTAGGACATCCACTCTAAAAATGATCATAGACTACCAGGAGTCAGGATGGTTACCAAAATTGTTGTCAAGTACAAATAATAAAGCATTAGTTCTGGACCAGACACATTTGCTACCTCATCTTAGTTTGTCCTTGGGACCAGTACCTGAAACACTGTAGATAGTTAGCAATTTGCTATATAGTTCTCTCTTCTATAACATTGTAATAATTCTTCAGACTATAACTGTACTTCCTTAAAGTCCATTGACTTTTGTGGGTCCAAGTTTGAACAGTCAAAAGTTCCTAGAGAATTGGTAAGGACAATCATCAACATAACATTATAAATAGTTGCAAAAAGGTTACTCCAAGCCAATTCAAATCACACAGAAGATCTATGTGAAATATAAATAGGTTATAAAATGGTCACACCTAGACATGTTTTCAATAGAATTTGGGCCCACACTTGAACTGGTTTCAATGCATGCTAAAGAAGTACAATGGAAATAAGATGAGAGAAAAATTTGATTTCTCTAAGTATGATTCCTTAGAAAACGTATTTGCTAACTTCTAGAAAAACCACAACTCTTACAGGATAAAAATAAAAACAAAAAATTCAAATTCTGACCAAGAGCTCTGGGTTCCATTTAGAAATGAAGAAAAAGGCAATTCCCCCTTCAGGCCCCAAAGCAAACCATGATTTTAGAAAACAAAAACAGATTCACAGATTTATCTATATTGATTACTATAGAGAAAATAAATGATTCTGTTTATCCACTTACCAAATATCAAAAGTTTATGGTTCACTAAGCAAATAAAAATACAATGCAAAAACACTAAAGCAATTCCTACTTTTCAAATTCTTCATTATTTTATTTTCAATTATGTTCCCTTAAAATTACCTGACCTGTCTGATTATTTAAATATCCATGTCAAAAATGAAAAGCATAGGTTGGGCTCAGTGGCTCAGACTATAATCCCAGTACTTTGGGAGGCTGAGGCGAGAGCATTGCCTGAGCCCGCAGGTTCAAGACCAGCCCAGGCAACTTGGTGAGACCTCGTCTCTACAATAAATAAAAAGTTAGCCAGGTGTGGTAGCACACACCTGTAGTTCTGGTTACTTGGAAGGCTGAGGTGGAAGGATTGCTGGAGCCCAGCAGGTTGACGCTGGGGTGGCCCTGAGTGTTCCACTGCACTCCAGCCTGGGCGACAGAGTGAGACTCCAACTCAAAAAAAGAAAAAATAAAAACATCTAACAGAATACATTTGGTAGTAAATGAGGAAAAAGCTGGCTGCTTTGATAATGACATTAATTCCTTTAGTAGATAACAATGTTTTAATTTCTTCCTTCTGTTGCCCACCCCACCACAGTCCTGCATATAACATATGTAGGAAATGCAAAATAATAAACTTGGCTAAATTAGCCTTATCTGACACTATATTGTACAAGACCACACTAGTAGCTATACAAACAGCATATATCTTAACTACTCAATACTAAGTCCTCACACTAGTACCATTATGAACCTTATGCTTCAACAAGATCACCTAATACTCTTCTAAAACCTAAACTGAGCAATAACCCCAGAAACAACACATCATTCAGCCTGCTAGGACTTAAACAGCAACCTTACTAGTGCTCAGATAAAGCCAATCTCTATTAAATAGCTTTGCTGTCACTTGATTATAAAGAGCAGAACTCTCTAATGACCTCTAACTCTCGCTAGACATGCTACTGATTTCAACATACTTACTTAACAGGAAGTGCAGGATGTTTTGTATTACTGTAACACAGCAACAAATTCATAAATTATCAGATAAAAGCTAGAAATTTCTCAGCTTTTAGTATTAGCTTACCCAGTTTAGTGGCGCCCTCTTGTGGGTACTCAGGAAACTGACCCTCGGAAGGGACGCTGACAGTTCTCCTCAGGCATCGCCCTTTGGTGGATTCGGGCTGCTGCTCCTGTCCCCCGTCCAAAGGTATCTAGTTAACCAAAAGAAAAAGAGGTGAAACTTAATAGTGACCTCGCCATAGCACTTCTGATTGAATAATGTTTTAAGTTAATCAAGACAAGAGTGTGTAATAAGCAGAGTAAAGCAGGAGAAAAACAGAAATGAAATATATACATTGTTAAAGTATTATCAACCCCTTTTCCTTTAAAAAGAAAACTGAAAGAACAGGAAAAGTGAGTATGTAAACTAGATTACATGAAGTATGTACAAATTATATCCAGGTGTGTACTTGTTGCTGTAGCTCAGAAAACTAAACACCCACACAAAAGGTTCTTTTACATCAGAAGACAGTTCACATGCTCCAATTTTGCCCAATGTTCAATAAGGTAAATAGAAATAAATTTGACCAAAAAAATTTAGCTTCAAAATTATCTTAAAAGGAGGTTTTCTTAGATAAAGGTAGTAAAATCACCCAAATTTACTTCAATTTTAGAATAAAGTACTTAGACATAGTAAAACACATTTTCAATGAAAACTTGGATAGATGTTTGTATAGAAACCTATATAAAAACGGTGTATTTTCTTTCAAAGGTGAAATCATTTTTATAATCCTAAAAAATATTCTCCTGACAAAGTTTCAGAAACATATCAAGTGGTTATTTGCATATCAGAATGAGAGCTATGTATAGTAAAAAAATCTGCCAATAACTATTTTAAAACATACAAAAAAAGTTACTGTAGAGTAATGAGATGGTTTAAGTTTTCTTTTTTTGTAATTCTAAGCTTTTTACAAATGAAATTTTACCAGTAACCTTTAGAGAATTCAGAATTATATTGGTAACATGTTAAAGAGTTTGACAAAGTATGTCAGTAATTAATTGTAATCCCTAATTTCTTATGGCTCCAATACTGTTTTCAACAAATTTCACTAATAATAACCAACACTGAGTTCTTACATTATGCAAGTATAATGAATTTACATGTGTGACATTAAGGGGGGGTATTATTATTATCCCCTTTCAAGATGGAGAATGATTTATTTCTACAAATGACTACAATGGACATATATAACATGAATTGATCCAGCAAAACTGGGACAGATACAGGTTTAAGCAGACATGCCTTCAGCACAGCTTCAGTAATCTAACTTCTATGACTGGGATCAAGGAGATGAGAGCCAGGGAAACTCACTCTCTCTGCTACTAAGAATCTGAGGAACAAGTTCCTAATGTTTCCATACACACTTTCTGCTCACACTCCTTTTAGGAACAAACATTTCCCCTTTTCCTCATTTACATTAACTATGGTTACTCTTTGCACATTGAGAAACAGAAAGACAGAATTCAGAAAGGTAAAATTCTGAAAATAAGCTGAGACCAACAAATAGCATCAGTAAAGACATGAACTCTTACAAAAGTACCCTGTAATATAAAACTTCACAAACAGTAATCTAAGTCATCCCTCCCTTTCAGGATGGAAATTTTATTATCTATACTTAAATAATTAAAAGAGTATCACTTAGAGGTCTGAATGACCACCTCCTATTAAAAAAAGGCAAAAACTGTATCCGCTACCTGCCTTAAAAGTACAAAGACTGACAGTAAGTTTGGAAAACATAGTATGGCTCTTTGAGCAAATACTTGAATCTAAATAAACGTAATTCTTTTAATAATAGTTCTAAAATGCTTACTATTATCTAAAATAATAAAGGTCTAAACCATATAGGAAAAAAAAGGTAGTTTCTTATGGTGTTTTAAAAGGGAATAATTTTTTTCTTGAAATTGAAATTTATAAAGGTCATATTCAGGAAATAGTAAGAAAGCCTTTTATTATCATATATTTTGTATCCACCATATCTAAAGAGATAATAAATACAATATAAACTTTCTTGTTTGGGACTAAAATTTGCTCACAATTATTTTCTCTAAGTTTGAATGTGGATTCTTCATTTCCCACTATTGAAACTTAAAATATGATAAAAGGTTTTATTCAAAGTATCATTTTTAAAAGTTATGGCATTTTACTCCTCATTTAGGATATAAGGGAACATAATGTTGACTTTTTTTGTAAACTGCATTTCTTAGGAATTTGTGTGTGTGCGTGTGTGTGCGTGTGTGTGTGTTTGGTTTGGTTTGGTTTTGGTTTTGGTTTTTTTTGAGTCAGAAACTCATTCTGTCACTCAGGCTGGGGTACAGCGACTTAATTACGGCTCACCACAGCCTCAATCTCCTGGGCTCAAGCAATCCTTCTACCTCAGTTTCCCAAGTAGCTGGGACTATAAGCAAGCGCCATGACACCTGGCTAATTTTTTTTATTTTCTGTACATATGAGGTCTTGCTATGTTGCCTAGGCTGGTCTCAAACTCCTGGACTCAAGCAATCCTACTGCCTCAGTCTCTCAAAGTGCTGGGATTACAGACATGAGCTACCTTAAGAATACTGTATGTGTACAACATTACAGATTTCTTCTTAGCTCAAATCTTTTTTAAAAATTGATATACTCCTTTAAAATTGGACAGATCACATTTCAAGTACTTTCAAATGAACCAAGCTGAAGTACACAAATCTTAGTATACATGTAAAAGAATGTTTTAGAAGACCAATTTTCTCTATTCTGTCCTAATTTAGTTTACTAGTTCTTATTTACTTGTTTATACTGAGTTGCTTATAAAAATTATATATAATTCAAGCTCTATAACATGAGAGAAATTTTTCTTTAACTTTTTTGGCCTTGTACTGAGTTTCTGAGTCATCTTTTGAGCTATCAAGTTTTTAAAAAGCAAGCACTTTCATTCCATTTTAGAGGAGGAAAGTGGCAAATAGCAAGGAGTAAATGACATCTCAGGTATCTAAGATATGTTAGGAACAGTCAAACTGGGCTGGGTGTGGTGACTCAAGCTTATAATCCCAGCACTTTGGGAGGTCTAGGTGAGAGGATTGTCTGAGCTCACGGCACCAGCCTAGGTAACTTGGTGAGACCTCAACTCTACAATAAATCAAAAAAGTAAGCCGGGTGTGGTAGTGCGCACCTGTAGTTCCAGCTACTTGGAAAGCTGAGGCAGAAACATCTCCTGAGCCCAGCAGGTTGAGGCTGTGGTGGCCATGAGCATGCCACTGTACTCCAGCCTAGGTGACAGAGTGAGACTCCAACTCAAAAAGAACAAACTGGATATCTGGCTCCTAGTTGTCTGTTAACTCCAAACCATTCATGACAATGGAAGAGCAATGTGAAACATACTGTATATACATATACACCCATATATTTTCTACAAAATTGCCTAACATATTGTTTAGAATTTCAATTTTAATCTGACCCCATACAGATTAAGGAGCTAGCCATGTACAGGAAATCAAGACCATGCTAATAGCATAAGGAAGTTCTTTGTAGTTATTTCCTTTCCTAACGAATGCTAAAAAGATGCTCAGGTCTAGTACATCCCTAAAAGAACTTTTTAACCCTCTGAAAGAAAAAATAATTCGTCAACATTCTTGTCTCCTTAAGGCAGTGGTTCTCAAAATAAGTGTGGTCCAGGTATCAACAGCATCAGCATCACCTGGGAACCTGTAAAAAACACACAATCTCAGGTGCCACCCCAGAACTACTGAATAACTGAGGGTGGAGCCCAGCAAATTGTGTTTTAACAAGGCTCCAACTGGTTCTGATGCTCACTAAGGTTGAGAACCTTCTTATCATGGCTCAGCATCTCAAAGTGACATCTATAACAGAGATTCTCAACCTTGGTTGCAAAATATAATCATCTGGGGGGTTTTAAAAAAATTCCGATGCTAGACCACTTCTAGACATTTGAAACATGCAAAGTTGAGAACCACTTATCTATACTCAATGTCTCCAGCTCTAATTATTCACTTATTAATCTTTGGCTGTCATTACTAAGTGTGGAGGTATAAGTTAATCACTTAACTTTACTAAACATCAATTTCTGCATTTTTGAGGTATGATCTTTCTGGATCTTTCTCAGCTGGACTCCTGAGGTGATAAGGTTTTCTTGAGTCTGTCACTGGCAGGGTCAGGCCTCTGTCACTGCTCAGCATGACCACTATTCTGTTCACTACACATCAGTTGCTCTCTGGAGAACGTGCGTAGTCTTTCCCTACACATGTGCAATTCAGTCCTGGGCCAAAGACTCTCTGGTATCCTGCCCAGCAGATTCCAGACCTTTCAGATGCAGAATTCTGTTGTCTGCCTCCTCATTGAAACCATTGTATTCTGCCTGACCTAGACTTCAGATTACTGCACCACAGTCAGGAAATAATACATAGCAGACATCTGGGGCAATGGTGACCATCACAGTGACAGGCCACCTGTTGTCCAAAGTCTGAAAATAGTGCATGTGTATATACATACATACATACACACACACACACACACACACACACAAATGGGGATTTCCCCCCCACAAACAGACATTTTGCAGGGTGGGTCCCTTATAGTACAGGCTTCCCCTGCTAGGTAAGTGTTCTAGAAACCCATTGACATCAGCGTACCAGCTAATGTGAGAGGCTGCATTCAGCTTCAGTGAATTTTTTTGGAGGTTATTTCAACATGTTTGCCCATTTCATGATGGGTGATTTACAAGTGCACCTGCCCACACTGAGCTGAGTGTTCAGCAGTTTTTGGCCAAAAACAGCATGACCCCCTAGCCCCACTCTCTCTACTCATCCGATCTCACTCTGAGCGACATTTTTTTTGTTTGTTTCCCCAGAAGAAAAATGTTCTCAAAGGGAAACGTTTTGCCAATGTGGAAGAGGTGAAACATAAAATGACAGAAACACTAAAAGACATCAAAATCGACAAGTTCAAAAACTGCTTTTAGCAGTGGAAAAAGTATCTTGATAGGTGTACTGAATCAAATGGAGAGTACTTTGAATGTGGCTGAAGTTTAAACATGTAAGAATAAATACACAACTTTTAATAAATTAATTCCAGGTTTTTTGGGATACCCCATGTGTGTGTGTATGTGTGTGTGTATGTTATCATCATGTCATTCTGAAGCTTAAAGCCCTTTAGTGA